ATTGATGAACAAGATAAACGAAATTGGTGTGTTTTTACTCTTAATAATGATAGTCGACCAAAGATTTTTAAATGTTATATTGCATCAAATTTATTTCTATTCTTCGTACCAATAATTATTAATTTAGTAAGTAGTATTATTATTATTCGAGAAACTTTTAAATTAAAACACAGAACGCAATTGAATGGTAATAGAAATATTAATCAACGAAATCTATGGAGAACACGATTGATTTTTATTAAAAAACAAATTATGAAACACAAACATATTCTTTTAGGTCCTCTTTTACTTGCTATTCTTTCATTTCCTCGAATTTTATTTTTTTTTTTTTTTTTTTTTTTTTTTTAAACGCTTTATTTATTTCATATGACGAATTCGCCATTAGGCGCTGACCGTCTTATCACAAACTGAGCTTTAAGAAAAACATCGGCAATAGGAGAAAGAAGAAAGTATAGAAGAAAATTTTCAACACTAGAAATACTCATCTGTTGTATAATAAAAAGAAAAAGAAAAAAAGAAGAAAAAGGAAGATAGAACTTCTTCATCGAGGTACGTGATGACTTAACTAAAGACAAAATCGCATAGGCGATCAAAATAAGTATGTCCCTCATTATCAAGATAGGATGTTAGTCTATTTGTTGGTCGACCTGCAGGCATGTACTTAATATTTGCTTTAATTCGATAATGATAATAGATCGTGTTAAATAAGAATTTGTATTGTAATGCACATTCAATAAACATTGGCTCGTGTAGCTGAATATTTTTCATTCGTTTTACTAACGATTTTTTAAATCTCTTTTCAATTGTAGGCAATTGAAAATGTTGATGTAAATCTACTGTAGGACATTGAAACAGACAGTGAATTAACCTTAAGCATCGCCTATAAAAAGCTGCTACACGTTCACAAGACGTATTAGAAAAAAGACAGTAAATCGTTGCCATCATGTACATGTGAGGCCATATATAAGTATTAAAAAATTTCATTTTCAATTTCGAAAATGAAGGAAACTGCTGATGAATAAACTTTAATATTATATATGCTTTTCTTAGTTTTAAAAATTGAGCATCAATCATATTCCGAAAGGAGAGTTTTGCATCTAGATGAAATCCAAGATATTTAAAACTTTTCTTTTGAATAATTTTCACTCCATCATAGTAAATGTCGAGCTTGGGCCATTGAACTGATGTATGATAAACAACAAATTCAGTTTTGCTTGGGTTAAGTGGTTGATGCCAATCATTCGAGTATTTTAATAAGTTTATCATATCCTTGTTGATGCGTTTAATTATTTCACCAGTTTGGAACTTCACTTTCAGATGAAAAGATGGATTATAGACGATTGCTATATCATCAACATAAGCATGTACATGATCAGGAATTTCAAAAACTTGAGGAAGATCATAATGAGCAATGATATACATAATAGGACCAAGACAACTTCCTTGAGGTGCTCCACGTTCAACTTTAATTTCAGTTGACACAACACCACCATAGTCAATTTTGAGTGTTCGATCACTGAAGTACTTTGTAATCCAAATAAGATAAGGTGATGGACAATTGAGTCTATTTAACTTCAATAATAATCCCTGCGTCCAGAGTTTATCAAACGCCTGTAAATAATCTATGTAAACGACAGGAGTAAATGAGTTGTTGAGCAATGATTGAGTGATTTGCTCTAATAAGCAATTGACACGGGTTGCTGTTGCTTGATTAGGTCTTGCACCGGACTGTTGTGATGGTAAAATATTCATTCGTTGTGACCAACTATTAAATCTAATGAGAAAAAGCTTTTCATAGATCTTACTGAAAGCCGGCAACATTGATAATGGTCTTAACTGATTTGTACGAGGTGCTGGTTCATCACATTTATTAAGACAAATAGTCCTAGCAACTTTCCATTCTTTTCCCCAATGAGCAGCACTAAATAATTTATTATAAGCATTTATTAATAAAGTATGGTAATGTGTTGGGAGTAATTTGATCATTTTATTTGAAACGTGATCAAATCCTGATGAGTTTTTATTTTTCAATGAGCCAATTGTCTTTTTTAAATCTTGTATATTAAATTGGAGATCCGAGTGATGAGATACTAATTCGATATCATCTGTATCAGCTGTACTGTATAATTTCCATAATTCATGGGCTTCTTTATCAAGCGAGTTCATCATATCTAATTTTGGTGGTGAATGTCGTTCGGTGAAATGTTGGGTTAAGCATTTCACTATGTTTACTGGATTTTTGTGTACCATCTTTTCTTCAGTTAATGCAGCAAAGTCGACAGATTTCTTTTTGTTTAATTTCTTCACTGTTCGCCAGAATGATGTAGGATTCGGAGAAGCCACAGTGGAGATAAATTGTTTCCAAGTACGTTGTCGATGTGATTTAAATTCATGTTTCACTAAATAATTCCATGATCTAAGCCTTAAACGATCTTCTTCATGTTTAGTGTGACGATATCGATTTTGCAAGTAATGTTTGTGCCGAAGAAGTATACGTAATGATGGTGAAATAGATGGTCGTTTACGTTTTACTTCTTGCCATACTGTTACTCGAAGTTTAAGTGCTGCTAGAAAATTTTCAAATAACATGAACCATCTGAAAGTGTCGCTGGAGTTCTTGATGAGAATTTCTTGTTCGTTTAGCAACTGGTCATGTAACACGATAAGAATCGATGAGAATATCTTCCAGTAGGTGCGAGGTACGAGGTACGTCTCGGCTGAGATATTCAGGCCCAGGAAATTAGTAAAGACTGGTAGATGATCACTACCAGTATAAGGTAAAGTGCGACAATAAGGTAAAGTGCGACAATAAGGTAAAGTGCGACAATTCCTCGAATTTTATTCCTTTTTACATTTGTATGTAAAAAACTTGATTATCGTCCATTTTTAAGTTTATTTGCTTATTTAATTGCTTTTATTCCTTCGATGACAATTTTATTTCTGTTTATTTTACCTTCAACTGTTTATCGATCAGCTTTACGTTCGTTGATAAAACGAATTCTTTGTAATCGTATTCTAAACTAATTTTCTTTCTCGTAGAGAAGAGATTTGCAAGAATAAATTGCCTGCTTGCTTGTGTGTTCGCGCCTCATTAATTGTTTGAAGAATAATGTAAAAACAAAACAGATTATTTTTTTTTAAAGTTTATCAGAGGTAATCAAGCATGTGAATTTCGAAGTCGATTTGAATTATTAAATAATCTACTGAGCATGCTTAAGTATGTGGGTATGAGTCTGGATGTCTTTTCCTTTAGTAAACATCTACACCCACACCCTATTAACAGCTTATGTAGCATAAATAGCCATATGTGTACTCTTTCCGCATCGAATATAAATTGTATATCCACTAATAATTTAAATATATCAGCTAGTATTAAAACTAGTACAATTAGTAATATTCATCAGATTGAAATTGAAAAACAACAATTTACATCATTTGTCGAAAAATTGATTAATTCAGACGAACTTTTTCAAGGTTATACTTCATCTTGTATACGGGGAACCCATAATACAGCCCTATTTTTTATAATATTGGTGGACAATATCAATTCTATCCCCAAATAGGTACACATCATCTATCAAATACAACAGCGATTATGAAAGACACAAAAAAAGCATACATACGTTATCCATTGTAAAGATAACGACTGCCATAATAAATTTCTACTCTGGAATAAAAAATTCTTTTATTTTATGACAAAGAGGGGTGTGGGTGAGTGTGGATTTAGATATAGATATGATTAAAAGAATATACGTCATCAACCTCACCTATACCCTCAGCAATGAACTCATTTTCATCGACTTAAAACTTTTGTCTAAGTCCAATGGCACAAAAGAGAAAAAGGAAGAAAATATTTCTCAATAACAACTAGATACTTGAAAATTCTAGAGAAGAATATATTTTACCATAAAAAAACTAATACACACATCGTTTCTTCATAGCTTTGGGAGACATGGCGAAATGAACGCAAAATACATTTTATTTTTTTGCGCATAATAATAAACAAAAAGAATGGAATTAACATATATTAAATACTTTAAATTTTGCTCAGTTGAAATTTGTGTACTTTTTTAACTCGTGCTTATATTATGAATGATAACAGAAAAGAATCGACGCAGTTTCAAAAAAGATATGTACTTGTAGTATTAAACATGTAATTTTTTTCTTATATTTCTTTTTTCTCGCCACGCGGAGTCTTTACTTTTCTTATTATTATGATCATCGACTATATTCTCTCTCGTTTTTTTTTTGTTTACCTAAGTATAATAATAGAAAAAGACACTTGAGATAAAATATATGACAAAAATAAAAGGAATGATTGAGTATAATTGATGATATCGAAATCATTTGTATAAAATTACGTCGAAATAAATATATATACATTCATAATTACTTATGGCTAGTTGGTTTGAAAGTCTTATCGATAGAAAACGTTGGACAAATGCATGGGATAGTGTAATCGATCTGTATGCTTTACAGATAACTTTCAATACATCTGATAGTTCGATTGTGAAACAATCCGATAACAATATTGATTATCATCCTATATTTCATATTAAATCTGATGAATACAAAAATGCACATGAATATTGGAATGGAGATATAATCGATTCAAGTGTCTAATTGTAAATATGTGTATAACTATAAAAAATAATCAAGATGAATACTATTTTCTTTTTTGAATAATAATGTATATACTAATTTTGATTTTTCTCATATAATAAATACGATAGAAATGAATCGATTCTTGATATTCTCAAAACATAGATATTAATTGAAATATAATTCGACAATGATTATTTTCATATCGTTGTAGAAATACTTTAGAATGGATGTGGGTATCGCAATATACTTAAACTGACACCCGCACCCTCAAGATGTAAATAAAGACTTAGACAACACTCAAAAACATAGAGAGAAAAAACTAAATTGATTTCTACAATTACGGATATATAAATAGGAAGATAGAGTTATAGTTGAATATTGAAGCATATTTGATACTACTGAATAATAGGAACTGGTGCCATCGTCGGTTGTTTAATAGGTTTAACTTTTGCAGTCATTTGACGTATGGAAATATGTTCATCACTATTGGTATTGTTATTATTTCTTGTGTATAGAGCAGAAAATTGTCTGCGAATGTTTACTAGAGATAATACCATTTGTTTTCGATAGAGATGTGAAACAAAGCAAAATAAATAAAATGATAAACATGGACAAGTATAATTCAATAAATTCGTACTAAATGAAATAAACGATTCAATCGATATTCGTTCATCGGATTTACTTATGCCAATATATGTAGTGAGGGTTGAATAGAGTAGATTGCTACTGGCAATAGTAGTTGTACAAATATAAACAACAACTTCTATCATTAACATACCCAAAACTTGTTGATTTTTTCTTCTTTGTTTTCGACTTTCAACTGTTGTAACTTGAGTGTTAACTAGAGTTGATAAAAAGACTTGTTGTCGTTGTTGTTTTGTTTTTAGATTACGAAATGTTAATAGAGAGAAAATAAACATTAAACAAGGTGGAGTAAAACCAACTAATGTAATACCATAAATACTATTAAAAAGTGCGACAGCACCTATATACGTACAACTATTATTGACTACAGTATCAAAAATTAACATATAAATAGGTGCAATAAGCCAGATAATGATAATAGCAGGAATCATATATCGACGAGCAATTTCTACACGAGAGAATTGACGAAGACGAGCACTTGTTGAACAAAGTGCAAATCGATCGAAACAAGCTGTGACAACCATAAAGCGTGACATTTGTTGAGATGCATTGAATAAGTAACTTCGAATCTTACAATACGCTTCCGTAATTGCCCATGGTCGATCAGCTACATAAATTGATGGTATAATACCTACGTTGAGTATTATCAGATTGATGAATGATGCAGCCAAAAAATCTAAATCATTGAAAATGAATATTTCTATGATGTATAAAATATTTTCTACATACAATTATTGCATGAAACTGTACGAAGTGTTTTTCTTCGTAAGAGAAAAATATTTAGAAGATTCCCCAAACATCCAATGACAACCATCAATGGACAACCATAACGTGTGAATATTTGTTGAGTAAACACAAGCGATGGATATGCCGATGAAGACATATTTGCACTGCTAATGAAAAATAAATGTTATAAGCACTCTGATTTCTGCAATCAAACTTCAAGGAATATCTGCGGAATGTGAAAAAAAAGATAGAGATGAGCAAATCGTGTTTCTCTTCTATTAATAGAAAGATAAAATAGAAAAATAAAAGCTACTTCTCTCTCATTAGCACTTTTGACTAACGCTATCATAAAATAAGAACATATTATTCTTAATGGTTTAAAAAGCACGATATTCCGTACTCACAAAGATCTTCATTAATGAGATTTCTACACGATAGATATGGATTCATTATAAATCTTGAAATGAAAAGATTTATTATTATCAAAGTTATTCTTTACTTGAATTATAATTATTTCATGTCTTAATAGATGCTAATGAAGATAATCGCCTTTCTTTTTTCCATTCTTTCATCAAATCAAGCACATCATAATAATTAAGTTCAAGGTTACATAAGCGAAACACGGCATGTATAAGAAACTTGCATAAGCATAATTAAAATAGACGTTCAAAATATTGAGTTCGTGACCATCATAGTCTTTTTTATTTTATACATCTAGATCAAATACAGTAAAATGTTAATCTACCTAACGAAGCATATGAATTACGAACGTATTTCAAAATAGATGTATATGAAAATACTGAACCTATACTAATTCAGAACATTGCCATGAACTTTATGGTCACATATTATTTGTTATAAAGATGAAAGACACAAAACATCACATTTCTATATTCTTCTTTACTGATCTTTTTCAAAATATTGAACAAGATGAAACAGAACGACAACATTATTGAGAGTGTGGGTGTGGATATTCTATTTGTTCTACAACCATATCCACCCTCAAGATTAAATACAATACAGGTAAGACTAAACTATTTTAGAAAGAAAAAAATCGTCAGTTATTTTGCAATACTTCAGCAGCATGAAATTTTTTTTTGTTTTCTTCAATCGATCTTTAGTCAACAACACAGAAAACGAGTTGTGACAACGCGAAGATATTTTACGGGAGGAAAACAGTGAAGAACTCAACGATATGGAATTTCGTGCACACGTGTTACGTGAGTAAGTTTCTATGGTTACATTTGTGTGTCAAATTAGTTGAAGAAAAATATGAGTTTCTACATAGACTAAATCGATTTTAATCAATAGTATAAAATATGATTTGAAAATATTTACACAAAGTAAAGCAGAGAAAAGAAAAAATCTTATAGAACAAAAAAAGTCTTAAAGTTAATAGTTGAAAACGTGTTCATCAAATTATCGAGCATTGAAATGAGCGCAAACATCATCTTCATTAAGTTCTCGACTAAAAACTAACCATTCATCGATAGCACCTGAAAATGAGCCTGGTGAAACAATGAGTCCATTGGTACATGAACTGCAACCATTTAAACAATTACCCAATGTTAAATAATTCATTGTTGAATTACTGGTAAGAAATGTCGTAGCTACGGCAGAACTTACAAGTGTGTTATTAATATATAATTTTAATCCATTGTTGGAACTCCATGTTTGAACAATGGATATCCACGATGATGATGATGTTGGTAATAAAGGACCTATAGCTGAAACAATAATTCCATTAGTAAGCAAAACTTGTGCAACAATAGATCCATTAGAAGCAAATGCTAACAATGGAAAACATGTTGTTCCTGTGCCAAGTGATGATGTTGATAGATGAATGAGAGTACCAGAAAGTAACTGAGGTTTAATCCAAAATGCAAATGAAAATGCTTTATTCATAATACCAAATGAAGTGAAACCCCATGTTTGAAAATATGAAGTTGATGTTCCAGAAAATGAAATAGCTTCGTTGATAAAACCAGAAATGATTACATAATTTAAAGCACTTTTATCTACTTGATTAGGACCAAAATCGTCTAATGATGAAATATTATCAAAATGAAAACGAGCTGCAAGTGTGGCAATTTCAAGTACTTCACATGAAGATTTTGCTCGTCCAGTAACTGATAAATTATCTATATAACCCTATATATGTAATGAGAGTATCAATCAAATATTCAATAGTAATTATTTCTTTCTCTACCTGAAAAGTATTATTTGGAGGTCTTATAAGTGCATTAATACCAATTGTAAAATTTCCTGTTGAACATAGTAATGACTGATTAGTATTTAAGCTTTGATCAGGAAAACCATTTAAATAAGTAGTCATTGTATTTGTTGTTTGATCAAAAACAAATGCGGTATGTAACCATTGATCAGTTTGAATAGTTGTTACACCAGTAGAATCCGGTAGCCAAAATGAAAAATACAATTTTTGAGATCGTATACCAATCTGAAGACAATTTCTTGTTGACATTGTTGGACACATCCCTACAATATTATAATCAGTTGGATTAGGCTTTCCATTTTGATAAATCCATGCATCAACGGTGAAACTTATATTCCTCAAAGGTATATATGAAGTATAAAGATATTGATGAAGTGTTGCATCAAATGAGATTGCTTGACCGACATATCCTTCGGTAATGAAAGTAGGTACGCTTGATGATGGAATTATACTATAATTGTTCGGTGAATTTGTAAATGAACCTTCGAACTGCCATGTTGCTATTGTATTAGAAAAAGCAATCCATGATTGGTTTAAACAAGAAGCGCCACACATGCTAGGTGTTGTTGTTGCTAAACAAGATACTTATTTTAATTATTTTTTCTTATCTAGCAAATAAACTCACAAGTGTATGTTGTTGTCATTGTACTACTTTCTGTTGTTGTCGTGTCCGTGCTAGTCGATGTTGTTATCGTAGTTATGAAAGCTATAATGAGAAGAGTGGATATGAGTATTCGATTCAAAGATATCATCAAGTTATTATTTGAACGCACCTGTACTTAATATAGTTGTTGTTTTTGATTTATTTGTAAGAAGAGCAACAATTAATGCGGCTACTGCTGCTAACAATATAATAGCACCAATGATCCAGCATAAAGTACAACAAGGTGAACAGGGCCAATAAAAACCACAACATCTAAACCTCAAAAAAATAAAATACAACTATTAACCAGTTCGACAATTAATAGTTATTTTTATATTACCTTCGTCGTCTTTTTTCTTGCTTTTCCGTTACTTTTTTACGATGGTGAATTTTATTGTGTCGTTTTATCGAAGTATCTCGCTATAAAATATAATTTATGATATAAAACTGTTATACAAATTAATTACATTAGAGTGATCGGTAATGTCACTTGATATTGTTCGCTAAAATAAAACTCATTTCACATATCGTTGGCAAAGTAACAAATATTATACTTGAGTGACACTTGCTGTAGACAAATTGGTGGTAAACGAAATGGAACGATTGTTTTTGTCGAAATGAAAATCAGATTTTTTATGTTTGATAGCTTGAGGTATATTCTCTCTGATTTGATCATGTGTTTGACTAAATTGGGTATTGGTATCAATCACGACTGAATCCTAAATAATTAGAAAATAGAATAAAACACCATCTTCCATCTAGATGAATTTATCACCAATGGTTGTAGTGGTTGACAAATATTATTCTCTACTTCATGTGATACTGGTTCGATTGCAGTATTAAATTCGACATTCTGTTTGATATTTGTCTCAATTTCTGAAGTATTTGATATCTAAGCGAAAAAAATTAATTTTAATATTATCATCAGCAACAGTAATAATCATAGAGCACATACTTTTCTCTGCGATGATTTAAAACTTCGATTGAGTATTTTGTCCTGATCGACACTGGTAAGAATGATTTGATGAATACGTTGCTTTTTATCAATTTTATTTGTAATATGATGGTTTGGCATACTTCGTCGCTTTAAAACGAAAGAAAAGAAAGATTACTACTCTAAACGAATGTTTATGTTAATATACATGTGATAGAGAACGATCTCGTGAGTTTTTTTTCACATTTGATTGTACAATATTCGAAGGACGGCCAATATGAGAGACCTAAATATAAGTTTAATAGAACAAAAACAAAGCAGTCGCTAGTTTTTTTTTACGTGAATAACATTTGTTTTTAGCGAAGAACTTCGTCGTGGCATTTTCAGAACATTGACAATCAAATTTTACTTCTAATAAATATGAAATATATTGTTGAGAATAAAGTAGGCTGTATTTTTATTATATTTTCTGCTTTCATTGTTCTTTGACTAACAATAAATTTTTAGTGATTCGTTTGTATACAATTCGTCTTTTTCAATATTGGAAAGCAAATGTCGGGCGATGCACAACTTTATATTAATCAATTCATAATTTATAGATCTTCATTTGTATTTAACTAAGATGAATGGAATAAAACTTGTATATATTCATTTGAGAGTCTTTTTAAAAGATAATTCAATGCGTTGAGGATGTGGCTGTGGATTCCGAGTAAATATACACTCACATTTTCGGTAAAAATTCTTTTTATTTTCATCTAGTTATACTTGACTTATGCAAAAATATTTAGAGGCTATATATTGAAAAGAGTATTTGATATTCTGTCGAATAACATTCCATTAAAGAATTTTTATTCTACTTATTGATTTTCATATTTGACATTGTTTAATCAGTGATGGAAAATGATTATTTCCAAAACGATCTTTATTATGAAAACAGAATGATTACATAAACCACACATACATTATACGGAATTTCGATAGAGGAGTACATAAGAGTTAAACACACGCTCTTCATTCCGAGTAAAGCAGAAGAAAAGTAAAGATTAAAAGGTTATACTCGTCAAAAAATATTTTTTGTATGTTGATAATAAAGTATATCGTTCCTATGATTCATTTAATACAATACAGGTAAGACTAAACTATTTTAGAAAGAAAGAAACATCGTCGGCTATTTTGCGATGCTTCAGCAGCATGAAACTTTTTTTTTTTGTTTTCTTCAATCGTTCTTTAGTCAACAACACAGAAAACGAGTTGTGACAACGCGAAGAATTTTTACATATTTTATTCATCTTTCTCGAATGGCATCCTCATCATCGTCTGACAAGCCGCCGAATATTATCTTAGATA